TTAATATTGTACAAAGCTTGCTGAGTGAGTTTATTTGAATATTTTTGGAGCAATGTTTAATTAACTTATTAACTGGCAAGAACTTTGCACTGAAGGTCATAATCGAGAGAATCAAATTTAGTACGGCTTATATTACTGTTTGTGAACCGTGTAACCCTTAATCCAAATGTATTTCGGCAGTAAACTAGCTGCAAAGAATATTCGAGGTAGGATGCTGAAGTAAGATTTGCGTTTTATTCGCAGTGGCAATCAGAATCTCAAATTGAAATACTTATGCATTTTTGATTGATCTCTTAGCTCGACTAGTATAAATTGGGATCAATCAATTCGGCTTATCATATTTTTGGCTAGGTCTACTTTTTAGATTGTTCACTTAGTCCAGCAATTCTTCGAATTTCTCATCATATGAGGATCGCGCCTCCATTGGGATTTTTGATGCCGAGGCTAAAGCATGAGCAAGACTGATACCCGGGTAAGGGCTTTGAATTTGCTTATAACTCATTTCCATGTCACTCATTTCCATCTTGCTTTGCCATACGTTCATTAGCCTTAGAAGATTCCAATTTTATTCACTACTAGTTGAGTTCGGAGTAGCATCAGATCTAAGGTTGTCCGTTTACATACATTAGTTGAGTATATCTGCATAGGATACATAAATTCACCTGGATCAATATCATTTTATTCAATCTTTATAGAATTTGTTTCAAGCTATTTGTATTTGTAAATACCTTTTATCTTACATATACAAATGATCTTTGATCCCTTTAGGCTGAAGCTGCTCTTCGGCTAGCAACAGTCGCAGCTGTAGGTCAAGCACCCCATCTCTCTGTTGCCGGAGGTTCCATGGCCAACTCCTTACGATCGCAATCCCGTCATGCTTCAACAGATGCTTCCGCCTCATATTGGGGAAGCGCTGCTGTCGCTGCAGTGGCTGCCGCTGCTTCTCTTGGACAGAAGCAGCATCAGCATCAACAAGAGTTGGCACAACAATTCCACCCTGTTGCATCACATCTGGACTCAACTCGTCAAGCCTTCATTAATTCTTATAGTCAGCAGAGTATTAGCGTAACTGGTCCTTTAGGAGTGGAGGAAAGGTGTCAGGAACGCCATCCCAGAGAACATGCTTACATGCGAATGCATCCACACAATCACTCCTCGCAGCAATTGATTAACGAAAAGCCTTCGCATATTTTAGCTCGGCGTGATAGTAGCGAGGATGTCGTCTGTACTCAACGGGTAAGTCAAACTACATCTATTGATTGTCTGCCACATCCATCGGCATCCTTATTTTATTCTATAATTGG